ATTACTCAGCATAAATGAAGTAGCCTTTGGAGGTACAACCTTTATGAATGTATTTAGCCATCGGACGTGCCTATACTGCTGAGTCCCCTTGAGGAGGTGGCTTTAATGGTATTGTAATACTTCTGACCTAAAGTTAAGACTTCAAGACCTGGTACCATGCCGTCCAAGTCTTTTCGTACGCTCGTCCTCAGCCCAATACTAGTGAAACGCAAAATATCATCTTTACCAGGAGTTGTTCCTATACCCCAGGCATAGTCAACGACTGGATCTAAGACATCGTCCATAAAAGGATCCCAGTTGGCACCAACGTTCTTTGCACTAGTAAGATAGTCGACGTCAACAAGTTTTATAATTCCGTCTCTAACAACTTTCGGTATGGGCCAGATAGACCTCACTCGAAAACCATTGGATTTAGCAGTATTAATCATTCTTGCGTTATTCCAACATGACAGTACATTGAAGTAGGTCGTGTTTTCGAGGAGGTTAAGGTCAGCGTATTTCTGAGAATTCGAATATGCATTTCTCTTTGCATAGGTTGACCTATTTGTAATATCGACTTGAAGGATTTTGCCCTTATCTTTGCCCTCGATAATCCACATACATGATTGTACGCCACTTTCGGTATCTTCGACGCCGAACCAAGTCATAGAGACGTTCCAATGCTCGAGTACAACGTTATAATCCACTCCTAGCACATTGTTTCCGTCGATGACATCGCCCATTAGCGGCGGGCTTACATCTAAAAGCATTCCATTAGAGCTGCGAGTAACAGAAATACCAGCTCTATTTGTCACTTGTACCGTTACATACACTCTCTCTCCCGCGGTAATACGACAGGTTGGACACGCAATTGACAAGTTGGTTCCAACATTTGTCATTGCTTTTATTTGACAACCTCGAGGTTGGGTTCCTAAACAGTATTCGATGTTCCTTATACCGCTTTCTGGATCTCTTATGTCCTTCCAATGGGCTTCAATAGTCATCTTTGGTGAAAAGTAGTCCATGTCATCCCCATTTGGGCCATCGTGGACGTCATTGTCAACAGCTAATGGTGGAGTTGTGTCTATGACGAGTCCAAGCGAAGAAATTGTTGTACTTAAACCCGCTAGATTTGTTGCTACAACTGTTATGTAATATATTTTTCCATGGGTAAGACTGAGGTCATTCTTGGTTACCTGTGTTGCGAGCTGCACATTCTCAAAGCTAACAACATCGTCTTGGTAAGGCTGAGTACCGATCGCAAAACGATAATTCTGGACAGAGCTTTCATTCTCAGCAAACGAAGGCCATGTGGCAGTGATGGATTCTGTGTTCGACTGATACTGGAAAGACTGATTGCGTGATACCCCAGCTGTAATTTGACCCGTCTGAATTGGTGGCGTGTTATCGATGGTGAAAATGACACTTAATAAAGCTCCGAGACCTGCATTGTTTATGCAAAGTACACTTACATTGTAACTATCCCCGTGAAGAAGGACAGCGGAATAGAGCGAGATATTACCCGAGGATGCTTTGCTGCTATTCACAAAGCGAAGTTGTTCCACTTTGTCCCTAACGGAGACGTTGCAGTAATTCATGCCACTCTCCAAATCTCTAAACTCGTCCCAGGAGACAGTGATATTGCTGTTGCTGACAAACGTTCTTCTTAAGTTTCGACCTAATGATGGTCCAACTTTTATTTCTCCCAGACTTGGTGGTGTGCTATCAAAGACCATTGCATCCGAGCATGAACGTGAGACGAGACCAGCTCGGTTTCGACATGTTACAGTGACATAATACTTCACACCAGGTGCAAATACCATATTTGTCATCGTGGTGTTAGCGTACTCTGACCAGCCAATGTTGATGAATGGTTGAACTTGAGTTCCACATTTACTTGTACCTATGGCCCACTTGTAGTACCAAAGTTCACTTTCGGGCTCGGAGAAGCTGTTCCAGTAAACTGCAATGTTAGATTCAGAAGCCGAATAGAAAGTGTTGTCTTGTTCGTAGTACCTCCACCCAGCCTGTGATCCTTAGCCTGGAAGAATTGTACTCGGTATTGGTGGAGTTGCATCTGCAATGACACCATCCGAAACCAGTTCCCTGACAGCACCAGCCTGATTTGTCACTTTTAAATGCACATAGTATTTTGTTCCACTCAGTAAAGAAAGGGCTCTTTGACTTCTGACATGTGTCGAAAGACCAACATCCGTGTAATCTTGAACACTGCTTTTGTCATTTCCACTTGTACCAATACTCCACTCAAATTTTTCAATTCCACTTTCCAAGTCCCAGACTCCTTCCCAGTTTGCAGCCATATCTGATAGAGAAGATTGATACTTAAGATCTGGTTCAATGACTCCATCGTGCACCACACCATGGCTTGGAGGGCTAAAATCGATCAGCACTCCGTCAGAGCTCATACAGTTGCGCAGTCCAGCATAGTTAACAGCGCAAACAGTAAAGTAATATACATCGTTAGCCAGGGAAAGACCGCAGACGGTAGCTGAGTTATTTCGCTCTGCCTTCTGAAACGGGTACACATCTGCAATAACTCCACGATTTCTGCTCACACCATACTCATAATACTGGATTCCAGACTCGTGGTCCTCAAAACCATCCCATTCTGCTGACAGTGCCGTGGTATTTTCTTGATAGTCGATGTCTGAGCCTGAACTTCCGTCATGCACTTGCGCAGTTCGTAAGCTNGTAAGCTTGGGGGAGTCTCGTCAGAAACGAAGCCATCCGAAGACACTTCGGAGCTTGTCAATCCAGCTCTGTTTTCAGCTTTGATCTTGATACAGTATTTCTGACCATTAACCAGTGTAATATTACTCAGCATAAATGAAGTAGCCTTTGGAGGTACAACCTTTATGAATGTATTTCCTGTTACATGATAGTTACCAGGGGTACAGCTTCCGACGGCAAAATAGTACTGCTTGACTTCAGTATGAGGTTCTGGGAACTTTGTCCAGGAACCGTAAACATGCCTCACGTCTGCCTGATATTTGATATCTACTTCAGGTTTTGGCCCATCGTAAACATTTCCTTGGGACGGAGGTGTGGCATCGGGTATGAGAGTGACTGAATGAGCATCTTTATACAAGAAAGCTCTATTGTAGGCTCTTATTATTACTTGATATGCCTTTCCTTGGAACAATGTAAGATTTTTAAATGTTGCAGAAGTCGGCAGATTAGATCCTGGTATTGCTTTAAAGTCTGAATTTGATGGTGACGTGCCCGAAGGTACAACAGCCCAGTCGTAGCGCTTGAGACCACTATGGGTATCAGAGAAACCGACCCAGCCAACTGATAAGGACGATACACTCGGCACGTATACGAATTGTGTTCCATTTATGAGGTCGTCTTCTCCAGTTACTTTAACTTGACCAGTAAATATAGGATGAGTCGTATCCACGGTAACGCCATTAGTAGTGACGTCAGTGGTGAAACCAACTGCGTCGATCGCTCTAACAGTCACGAAATACTTTGTGTTGTTTCCTAACGTCAGTCCGGTATGTGTGATGTTTGTCGCTTTTCCTGCTGACGTCCAAGAAACAACAATAAGTCCACTGCTATCTGTCACTCTATAATTGTAATCTACGATTCCACTCCCTTTGTTACCGTCCACAAAACCATTCCAGTTTGCTGCTATCATTGTATTGTCTGATTGGTAGTCTATATCACTTAAGTGGCCATCATTAACAACACCGCCTTGTGGAGCATCATGGTCTATCAACACACAGTCTGATTGGACTTGAGTGTACAGACCAGCTTTGTTGTAGCCTCTAACGACCGCGCAGTAGCTTTCTTGCGAAACAAGGTTCAGGTTTGTTGCGGTGGAAGAGCAGTTCATGGCTGTCGTCTTGAATGATGTGACTAAACCAGCTCCTAGCCGCTGTATCGCCAAAGCATATCCTGAAAGAGGGGAATGAGGATCTATAAAGTGGTCCCAGTTTGCGGCGTACGTTGTCGTCCATTTGGCGTACTTGAGATCTACACCAGGTTGACTTCCATCATAGATTGTGCCAGCTACAGGTGAGGAAGTATCGATGACAACTCCATCGCTGGTGAGGTCAGTAAACAAGCCCGCTTTTGTGAATGCGCGAACAACGAATGTCACCTTTGAGCCGTCTGTGACGCTACTGAGGGTCTTGCTTCCGTTGGTATTTAAATTTGCGTTGGTGAATGATGTAAGCTCGGTTGTTTGATTACTGTTAAAAGATGTTAGGAGAGCTTTCCACTCATACTTGGCGACACCATGTCTAGTTTGAAATCCTCCCCAGTTTACTTGCAAGAACTTGGAGGTTTGGTAGCTTAGGTCTGCTCTGTGGCCATCATGGATCCACCCACGTTTAGGTGTCGATGTGTCAATCGTGACCTTGCCGCTACAGACAAGTTGTGGAATGTTATTTCTTATATCAGACGCTTGTATTGCAACTTTGTATTTGCTGTTATCTTGAAGATTTAGTCCTGATAGAGCTTGTTGAACGTTGTTATTAGGAAACGTCCCAATCACACTAGACGCGTTACTGCAGGCAGAGGATGCTGGTAAAATAAACCATTGAAGTGTCAATCGGCCACATGAGATGGAAAATCCTGTCATCTGAAGGTAAAGTTTATCTGTATGGTACTGAAAGTGAATGTCTGATTGAAAGGCTTGGTCGCTAAGTTTTATAGTGCCGGTTGTTAATGTGATACTATCTATCTCAGCACCAGGGCATAATCCAAGACTTCCGTCGCACCTGCGGATAATTTCATCATCGAAGAATTACTTAACAGGATTGAACAATCTAAGAAAGTATTGTTTTTTACATTTTATGCATTGTGTTTCAACTAAAGTAGTGTCTTCACTCAATGAGGAAAAAAATGTGTTTTAGGAGCGAATGTTGTTAAAGGCTATAAATCTTGCGAAGCTCCGTCTTGATAGAATGCAACGAGATTGATGCTTTTCAGATGATTTCTTTTAAAAAACGTTATAATGAAAAAATCAGCAAAAAATAAAACGTAAAAAATTTGATTTGATGATAATCTTTCACCGTTCAATTCACTGTAAGAGTACGTTTTCTCGATTCTTTCCCATTTTTCTTTCAGAACTAGCTTTCTTAACACAAATTCATATGATAAACTCGGCGAGGCCTCTTGCTTTTAATACTCTTCTTACTCCTCACATAAAATTAGACCTTGCTTCAAAAAACTATTATTATACCATTCACTTCCAATCATCAAATTGCTGCTGTCTCTGTGTTGACTCGTTGCGAATCCCACAGGATGTAGGGCCAACAAATAAGAAGTAATTTGGCTAAAGTCAGTGAACGTCAATTTTCTCAAAAAACAAAAAATGGATTTCATCCAAGAAAAGTATGCTGTTATTTCTTTGACTTCCAATTAACTTTATCTAGACCTGTAGATAGAGGATCATGGAATAATTAACCTAACCGGTAAAATTTTCTTAACAAATTAATTGTCTATCGCCATATTGCTGATCGGTGAGGAGGTTGGCTTGTATATCGAACCAGTAAGTTACAATGATAACAAATCAAGCAAAAAGAGGATCTTTTTGTAAAGATAAAAGCGCTCCTATATCATAAATATCGTCGTCCCTCACCGTTCAGGTCGATCACAGGCGTCCAAAGCCGGGCGGCAGATTGTTCCACTTGGCCTCATGATCGCGCGGCAAGATCCGTCACCAACACACTGCGAGGTTTGAATACAGCTTGTAGAGGGATAAGAAGCTTGGCAAGAGTAATCTTGTCCAATGCACCTAACAAAACAATAAAAGGAGGGTTCCCCTACCCTCTCTCAGTTAAGTGTTCTTATTAATCCCTATGTGGCATTAGTTTTTTAATATCACTAATATTTAACTTATACAGTCCGCAGTTAATAATCAAGGATGTTGGTTAGTGATAGGTGTTGGGGATAGCACAAAACTTCGACGCGTTATCCGTAATATTCCTTTAATTTTCGACCATCACGATTGATAGTATGAACATGTCATGAAAAACGGTTACAAGACGGTGAAAACTGAGAAAGAAAACAAACAAGAAGACGAATATACAAAATGAATACCTAAAACAAGCGTCAATCGAAATCCTACTTACATTTTGTGCGAACCAAACGCTTAAAAGAAGAGTTTAAAGCCCGCAAGAGCTCGTCAATAAGAACACGTGTGAGAAGCTAAAGTCGCGAGTTTATTTTTCAAAATCAGGAATTTCCTGTTATAGTTTGTCCGCTGGAGAGGCTTCCCACGCTTTGTCTCCATGAAGATTAATGGAAAAGACCTCGCAGATATTTGGAAGCTTTTGATTATCATCTCTACTTCGACTTTCAGCGGTTGTTAACGAAGTTAATTTGTTTTCGTCATTCATAAAGCGTCACTCTTTAACGATACTTACTTGCCAGAGTTACAGATGTCTTGTTTTGTGCAGTCTTTGCCATCATCACAAGAGACTGCTGGGCGATTACTCCAGGCACTTTTGGCACGAGCTGCTGTGTCGTGCAAGTCACACCACTGACACTGATTTGAAGGATTTACTGCTTGATGACTATAGTCCCGGCCTGCAGAACGAGCAAATACATTATCAGATAATTTCATGCACTCAAATACCATTGACTATTAAAACGTGAGGCAAGCAGCCCAGTGACATAATACGTTTATTACTGAGGGAGATCTGCGATACATTTGGAAGCTAGCGCCTTTTTCCAGAGTGATACCCATCAAGGATTGAGACAACCTTTTTTGTGCTGGTATGTTTTAGAGTATTGCGAAACGTAGGTATTAGAATTTTGTGGGAGAATAGGTACAACATGGTGAAATATGACTCACCTGCTATCTTACACTTGCAGGTACTGTTCGCAAAGCCAAATCCAGTTTTCAGACTGCAACTGTTACCATTACAGTACTGACAATCTGAGTTGCAGTTGAAAGGTGTAGCTGTGCACTGGCCGCTTTGACACGTGTCTGTGCGTGTACATAGATTACCATCACTACACGCGACACCGTCTCGATTAGACCACGTGCTGATACTCTTGCTAGGATCACACCACTAAAGGAAAACAACAACGAAGAAATTCAAGCAAAGAAGTGACCCTCGGGGATGAAAGGCAAATAAAGAAATACTTAAAAACTATCCACAGGTCAGAATATCATTTAGTTTTTTTTTGATACGATCAGATTCCTTTACGCTAAAGAGGTACCTCTTTTTCATTATCGGACTTCGTAGTTCAGTCGAAAGAAGGGCTCCTTTAATATTTTTGAGATGGACGAGTTTGAGTGCCTTGTCCCTTGTTACACACACCGTTCGCGGTAGACCCACTCTAAAAGATTGCGCGTGTAATGAGCGTATATTTCGAACCGGTCGTTCCGCGAACTCAAAATAGTAAAAGAATCAAATGATTTAGCGAAGGTCTCTCTAGAATCAAACCAGAAATCAAATGAGTTATCGGTGAACACTGAAATGTAGATGTGGACAGAGTGACAGGAGAACACTTGCTGATAAATACAAGGTGCCTCGTGATCAAACTCTGGGAAACGACAACAAAGATGCCATGTTGGACTTTCATCAGTGAGGATAAACGTAATTGTTATATTTTTGTGTCCTCTATCGTGATTATTAAGCTTACATTTGTTATGCTTTTGTTCAAACAGAGTGTATTATCCGCTGTTATTTTCCTGGTCGTTCCATTAGTTATGTCGGTTTAGTGCGAATATTAAATTCACGTTTTCGTTGTGCAGAAATGTTTGTTTGGTACCAAATAACGCGGTGTCAAATGAATGTGATGATGTATAATTTGGACAAAGTAGCGCCATGCATAGAACAAAAGTGTGACGAACCAGCGTTGTGTGCACAACAAAATGATGTTGCAAAAGAAATAAAATATGCAAAAGAATTCAGATCTCATCATGCGATGTTTGTTAATCGTTGATATTAACAGTGATATTAACAGTGGATTCGATCGTGAGCATGGCACGCAGAATAACAGTAAAAAACTATTAAAGCTTTCACCTAAAAGCAAATAAACAAAGAAACTGATTTGCGAGGGAATTCTTAAAACATTCCTATCTCATCAAAAATGTATTGCTACTTCAAATGCAGAGTTAGAAAAAGGAGCAGTAATGCCAGTATATGTTTCTACAAAAGATGAGAAAGAAATGGTATTCAAAACAGTCAACACTGAATCGAAAATTGTTGAGTTGTAGAGATTCTGAGCAAATATCTATCTTTGTATAGCTGCAATACATTAACATGTGTGTACAAGAATGCAAGCTACAGATGTCATTGTGCTACACTGAACTGATGTGTGCAGTGACATTGAAACAAATTGTGGGTCTCCTATACATGGTATTGATCCTATTCTAACAATCAAGGCACCATATAAACTACCCAAAACTGTAGGTATCTTGTCTAAAGTGAGACACTTTGTCAACAAAGATATTCTTGTCAGGCTTTAATGCTCCCTTATCTATCCATTCCTCACTTATGGCGTCCATGTCTGGGGTTTAACCTTTCCCTCATCTCTAACACAATTATTTATTATCCAAAAAACAGCAATCAGAATAATATCTTCTCTGAACCAAAATCCCATTCTGAGCCTCTGTTTAAATCTGTTATTGCAGGGAAGAGACGAGCACACATAAACTCAACTCAACCTTTTAATCTCTACCTAATGGTTCTTGTACATACCATAATACTCTGGACTAGTGTCCAATCTCCTAACACCTTCTCCCCAGTAAAATGATCAAATTTACGATAACAGTCTCTGAAGAGTATCTTGCTAGTATTTTAACTAAACGTCCTGAACGTGTCCGTTTTGCAACAACTAGATCCATCTTCTTGACGGACTTAACAGGCTTAGTGGGCTCGGATTTAAGTTTTGTAGAACTAGATACAAGATTTGAACTAGAATTTTTGGTTTCCGAGGCACGGACTTTGGCGTTCGCTTTTGGATTTGGGGCAGACAGTGTCTTCTCCGTATTCGGCGGTTTTCCTGCGGGCCTTAGGTATACGCGGTTTCTTCTAAGGAGTTGGCCATCCACTTCAACATCATATGAACGGAATAGATTGTTCTGAACAATAAGTCCTTTTCTCCATTTTTGTCCTTTGGTTAATCCTTCAGGCTTGATGTTTAATGTATCACCAGGTTTAAAACACTCAGATCTTTGGCAGTTCGATTGTAATACATTTGAGACTTGGCTGTTTTCTTAGCTTTATGAAGATGTATACAAAGTCTTATTCCATTCTTAGCAGAAGGCTTGTTGAGAATGGTGGGAGCGCTTACCCAGTCAGTGGGCGCAGTTACTTTTTCAATAAAACCTTGTTCTTGAAGATCTTTGACTTCGGCAATTAATTTGTTTTTGACAGACAGGGGAATCTCCCTAAGAGCTGCTTTCGATGGAGTAACATCTTGTAAAGGTGCAGTTCGCCTTCTAGTTTTCCTACACTGAATGGATTCTTATGAATGAATGAATGAATGAATTCTTATTTATATTGCGCCCTTTCTATACTATATTCAAAGGTACAGTACCCCCCATCAATTTAATAGACACTACACAAAGATAGACCACAACACCGGGCACTACGTTCCATACTCTTTTCGAACAGTGTGTGGGTTCTTTAACGTCCTACAAATTTTTTTTTTTTTTATCACATACAAGGGCTTGTGAAACGGGACCTCCATTTATTGTCCCTATCCAAGAAGACTAAAAGGTCTAACCATTTGCAGATATTATTACAAAGGCAGCACTTTCTTCTCAGTTATTTAAAGACCCTGAGTGTTGGTCCGGCCGGATTTGAACTCACGACCTCCCGCACAACAGTCCGGCGCTCTACCAATTGAGCTAACCGGGAGGCGGCTACACTGTCACCAAACACATCAGGGTAATTACTCAAAATGGTTGCCATGGTGAGTGGTGTGTGTAGTTCAAAAACAGATGAAGAAACTGTGGGTTTTTCACAGTCTAAAGTAGCAATGTTCTCTCGAAAAGGCTCAAGAAGTTTTAGTTCCTCAGAGTCACGTAAGTCAATTAAAGGGGTCAGGTCCTTATTAACAATTCTAAACTGAACGATGCCTTCTTTTCTAGTTGCAGGGTTGTACACAAAACATTTTCTGGTCCCTAGTGTTTGGATCTTAGTTTTCTCATCATAGAGTGAAAGAATTGGACGGACAGTTGTGTTTAGTTCCTGTAGGTTATGATCACCACTGATTTCCTTGTACACACCATCTGGTAGAATACTACATGTAGAACCAGAGTCTATCTGAAAGTTTAAAGAAATTCTTTTCGTTGAGATGAGTAAGTTTGCAAAAGCTTTCCTATGGTCACATTGTTGATTTAGTGTGCATATTTTGTCCATAACTTCATAAAAATACTCTTCACCATCTTCATCAACTTTTAGGACAAATGGTTTCTTAGTTGATTTGGACTGCCTTTGATTTCCTGGTTGTGGTTTTCTCTCCTTTATTGTTTGTTTTGCTCTGATTAGCACTCTTAAATGATAATGAGGCCAAAACAAAAAAAAAATACATTTTTATGTTAGACAAGTGTACTAATTATAAATTTGGAGTCGCTTACATTCCTTGGAATCTTTAAAGTGCCCCTGAGACGAAAATTGACCATTTTATTTTGGCCTAAATTGTTTACACAGTGTTGAATTGGATCAGGTTAAGACCCTTTTTTCCATTAAAAAATCAAAACAAACCTTCGATGACCAATTTTTACCGCTTCAAAGTCGTCCAAAAATCGTCCGCCATTGCTGAAAACATGCTCCAGCCGAGCCCGCTAAAACGTCATCATGACGTCAAAGGCTCAACAAACTCTTGCTTTGCTTTGTCACAACTCTCTTTGCTCGCTACACAGAGAATCACTGTTTCGTTGTCAGTCGGGAAATGTCGACTTTTTCAGACGATGAATTGTCCCAGAAATCATCTGAAGCTTCTGTGGATAGTTTTGCGCCGACAAACAATGAATTTTTGCCATGCGAA